TACAAGAAATAGACGATTCAACTTTAACTTACCTGAAAGAGTAGGTAGTATTGGAAATTCGTTTTATTACAATGCCATAAAACATTGGAATTCCCTTCCCAATGGTGTAAAAGAAATAGGAAACTATGATCATTTTAAGAGGAAATTAAAGGAATACCTAATACTTGACAGTCAGAGAAGAGAAGTGAATGACATGTTATATGATTGAAATTTTTATTCTTCTGTCGGTTCATACTTTTTCATGTTGTATATACTTATGTTTTCGTACGTTATAGAATTTCTACAAATTCATCATTATTTTCCTCTTCTTCCTTCTCCTCTTTTTCTTCTTCTCCTTCTTCTTTTTCTTCTTGTACTTAATATCATTTCTATCATCAGTTTAATGTTGTTATTATTATTATCTTTAATAAGTAGTTCTTTTAATTTTCTTATCTGTCTGTAAATATTACTATTTTAACTTATTAATTTTATACATGTCTGTAAGGGACCCCACTGGAAATAAGCTCTCGAGCTTTCGTGGGTTATCCTGTTCAAGCTGACTTTTTTTGATCTGTTATTATTGTATATTGTTGTATGTTGGAAGCTTGTCGAATAAAAATCAATCAATCAATCAATCAATCAGGTCTAACCAATTATTTCCAGATAAAGATTTCTGTATACGGTAGCCTAGCTGTAAGATAAATTTGCTGTCTAAAGACTATAGAAACGACTTGTTTAAGGTTACATGTTTGTGACACAAGTCACTGCTTTATTCCTCTACGTATCGACACGCAATGCTCAATTTCCAGACATCTGGGCCCGGGCCGGTAGTACACTTTCTCACAGGTTTCACTGCAAACCGCTGCACATTACAAGTGCATACCGATGGTGGTTGCGGGCGGGCGCACGCCTGTGTGATATATGTTATCTACCGTACAATGAGGAGGTAGATCACTAGACTTACGTGCCCCCGCAACCCTCCATCTGTATGCACTTGTATTGTGCAGCGATTTGCCGTGCAACCTGTGAGAAAGTGTATACTACTATCAACGTTTTTCCGAAAAATACTCCCCCCAAAATAAGAAAATTGACCAGAAACAGGTTAGAAACATAACGAATTTTAAATCATGACCGGCATTATTTGAACATTTCATGAATATTTGCTTGATTTGGGGTAGGCCTAGATCTTGACCTATATGTTTTAGATTTTTAGGACTCTCTCCATGACGCCAGAGTTATGGGTCACTGGTCAGAAAGTCTGGATATATGATTCTGAACTAGTAGTAGATCTACAGTATTGCTTGGAATAAAGTAGACACTCTCACACTGTGTTGCGTACGCGTGACTGCATGTATTATCCGTCTTTGGTGTGACTTAGGCAGTAGACCTAGATCTACTGCTAGGGTGTCTGAACGATTTTTCAATTTTCAATTTGGGATCGTTTTTCACCATTTTTGTTGGATATTGGAGTAAAAAATGTAATCAGAATAATACCTTTCAAATTTCAAGACTCACCGATGTTTCTATCAAAAGATACAGCCCCTCAAAAACTGTGCAGTATTCATAGCATTTTGGTCAGAATGGACAGAAAAGTGGTTCACGCAGAGTTATAATTTCTGCTCAAAAGCTGCACAGCTAATGCACAGCACGATATGCAAAGCGTGGAGCAAGGGTATTTTCAAACTGTTGTAACAAATGATCCCTTGGGACTAGAGAAAAAATAAGTGCATGGATATATTCTTTACAGCTGGCCCAACTTATCCCTCGGGGGGGGGGGGGGGCAGTTCGTGAAATTGGTAAATCTCCGAGTTACCATGGAAACGATGTTTAAATCGCTGTTTTGAGCAAGATATATTTAGAATTCCGGGGGTGGCCCCCTATGGGGAATATGGAGAAAAACCTGCTCTTTCATATGACACCACATTTATTGAGTTTCTTCTTCTTCTTCTTGTTCTTCCTCCGCTTTTTCGGAGATCAGCGATCCCATGGGCCGCAAGACATATAACAAAACAGGAGCACAAGGTAAACATCAAGGTAATGGACTGATAGCAGTCGATCGCGATAGGTGCATTTTATGGACAAAGAGTAAAGTAATAGCCAGTAAACTTCTATATGTAGTAAGTGGCAGTACTACAGGATCACCTTCAGGATCATTTGTTATAAAGGTTTGAATTTCAAATTTTTCATAAAATCATTGACCAATTTTGCTTGGTCGCGCAATGCATGTAGACCACATAGGGATGTGTGCAATCTCTATAGGAAAGATTTTAGCACACAACATCGGGTGCGCGATCAGACACCCTACTACTGCCAAAACTTTCATCACAGACATCATATCAGTTTGCTTCTCTTATTTTTCTGCTTTCTTTTAGTTTTAGAGCAGTTGTATATTCGAGTTAGATTTCCCTTTAAAGCCATGCAGCCCATGTGTCGGCAAATGAGTAAACTTTTTTGCTTTTAAATGATGCCCCATGCCATGCATCCCATCAATCAAGACCCTACATAAAATATGGGATCATACATTTCAAATCTTTATCTTGTCAGCAAGTGTTGAAAGTCCGAGCTCACTATCACTGACATAAGATCATACATTACAGTAACATAGAGTCTACATATCAACTTTTCAGAACGAAAAACAGTAACTATAGATTCATGTACTTTTTGTAAATAAATTAGGTAATTCTAGGACTTACCCATACTGTAAATTTGCAGGAGAAAACGAGAGTATTCAGGAGGATGATACTTCATTCAACGGCTTTTTCACTCTGAATTCAAATACATTACACACACACACATCGCATGTAGTCCCTACGCTTTGCCTTGAGTAACTGTATCTACATGTACCTGTACACACACACGTACGTACACACTCGACTCCCGTTTGATGTATAGTCTTGATCGATATTGCAGACCTTGGTGCACAATCTGTAAATTGGTCCACTATAATGACATTTGAGGGGGGGGGGGAGGGAGTTGTTCCCTATTCTCAATTCTGATAATTGCCCTATTTACTTTGACTTATTAGATGTTGTAGTCTTTACCCGATTATTATCTTGGAAAAAATTAGGTTGTTAGAGACATCATAATGACGTCGTTATAACGTCGTTCTTACGACAAAAAATATCTTGGAAAAATAGTCTTTAAAAGAGGTCATAATGACGTCGTCAATACGACAAAAATATATTGAAAATAAGTCTTTTAAAGACGTCGTAATTGTAAGAATATGTATAAATATTCATTAGGAGCAGCTACACTGTAAGCGCGCACGAAAGATTGTGACGTAATAAAGAGTTTTAAGACTCATCAGTTTTTGGTTTAGACACATGAACACGATGTAGTCCCTGTCTTGTATTGTACTAGTTTAGTTGGATTTGAGTGAATCAACCCTAGGCCAACAGCTATCAAAACATGGTGGCAGCGGCGGATAGATGTTTTTTTGCCGTTGAAATGATCTTGAGTCTGATCACTGTAGTGATAGCGGATTTTGGACATGCTTTGTGAGACAGAATTGTTGATGACCGAGAACTTAGTTTGGCGACTTCAACGCAGTGCGGTGCGGTATGTACTATAGTGCGTCGTCGTGTATATTCTGTACTACATGTGTGTGTCTTCTGTGAATCCGTATTCCGCGGTGCACGAGAAAGAACTTTTATGTGTCGCGTGCATGTGGACCTGGAACCACTTCGACGTCGTCGTGCGATGATGTGTGTAATCGAACTCTTGATTGGAGTTTATCGTTATTGGATCACAAGCTAGTCTAGATCGACTCTGGTCTAGATAGGACCTAGATCTACAGTGTATTTGTGTGTGTTCGTGCGGACATGGACATGGTGTAAGCACCCTCCGAGACTAGACTACAGGTGAGCCCAGCACTGCAGCAGTGAAGCAGAAAAGTAACTTCACGCGATGGGAGCATACTTGACTTTGTAGACCTACATGTAACAAGTTAGACCTACATTATGAGACTGTGTTATTAACTGGAACTACTGCGCAACTATTGTAACATCAGTCACTGAGTGAGCCTTTCTTGATGTGCAGACTTCTTTGGACTCCAGTATCACTGCCAGATCTACACTACGACGACAAGGTGTATCCAGAATCTATTCCAGATGTGTTGTCTTCACAAGAAAAAGGGACTTGATGATTGATCAATATCAGATCTAGACTTCTAGATCTAGTCTAGAAACTGAGCTTTAACGATCGCCGATAGGTCCATATCTACCTCGGATTGAGTTGGAACTGATATTCAGGACATATAGCTTCAGTATACTTCGAAGAGATTGAACAGTTAATTATAATTATATAGGCCTACTGGACTGGACAACAATCAGCTATTAATATTATAAGACTGAGCTGAATGTAAGGAGGGTCAAGTGTGGAATTGTTTTGAATTTGATTATTGTTGATAAGCAATATGCCTAACCCTTGTTCTGTACTTTATAGGTTTGAGAGCTATATACTTGTAAGTTGTATGATATATTCAACCAATTGGGGATTCCATGGTACCCATCTGAGTCCTGACTAGTATTATTAGTAATAGTAATACAGATCTACATTTAGATCTAGCTAGTTTGACCATTGTCTTCTGTTAGAAGTTAGTCATGTATAGAAGTGAGATAGACTTAAAATCTGAATTGTAAGAGTTCACGAGGAGGTCTCATGATAATGTCATGTGTATTCAATAATATTGATGGTATCTAAGTTCATGACACATTAGTATTCTAGATGGCCTAGGCAGGGACGTTCTTGTCATTACTTTAGTAGATCCCTGTAATGTGACCTACTGGTGTGAAACTACATAGTCTTGGTTCAAGAGTTGTATGGACATTGTGTGTACCATACTGATTGCCAGTATTGATAGTATACAAGTGCATTCTTTCTGTTTATGTGCTGATTTTAAGTATTGGTCCAATGCATTATATTTGTTGTAGTAACTCTGCATGCATGGTACTTTTTGTCTAGGACAGAACCAGGTTCAGTGACATTACATATAACAGATTGGATTGTACACATTTACAAACATGGCTGAAGCTCAACTTCCCTTTCATATTGCACCACCGCCACCCCTAAGGCATAAAGAAGATAGGGTGGAAGAGTGGAAGATGTTTAAACAAATGTATGAAAATTATGAGGTTATCACTAAGTTAAAGCAACAGGACAGTGAGTACCAAAGAGCTGTATTTCTCCATACAGTAGGTCCTGAAGGTCTAAAAATCTTCAATGCTATTACTTTTGAAAGAGATGGAGATGACAAGAAAGTCGATGTCATTATCCAGAAGATGAATTCTGTCATCATCGGACAAACCAATGAGATATATGAGAGATTCATATTCAACAAGCGGGACCAGAAACAAGGTGAAAGCATCGAAGCATATGTGACAGAGTTGAAACAGCTCGCTAAAACCTGTAAGTTTTGCGACTGCCTGAGGGAAAGCCTCATCAGAGATCGCATCGTGTTGGGAATTGCTGATACTGCAACAAGGAAAATCCTCCTCCAAAGGAAAGACTTGAAGTTGGAGACAGCTATAGACATTTGCCGTTCTTCTGAAGTCACTGCCTCCCAAATGCAGGTCATTGGAGATGATCCTTCTATCCACAGGGTAGAAAAGTCACATGAAAGAAAGCAGTGGACGAAGAGTCCAAGGCGACAGCCAGAAGGAGAGAATCTCATAAAGTGCAAGTTCTGCGGAAAAACTCATAGACGCAAAAAGGAAGAGTGCCCCGCCTATGGGAAGATGTGCAAGAAATGTGGGAAAGAAAACCACTTCGCCATATGCTGTAAGAAGGGATCAAAGTACAAGAAGGAGATCCATAACGTAGAGTCTGAGGATTCAGCAGAGAACCAGACAGAGTCGGAAACGGAATCTGTGAACCACATAGAGATAGAGGTGTACGCTACAGGCACCAAACCATCTAAAGGACTGTTTGCGGAGATGTTGGTTGAGAACAGGCCAGCTAACTTCCAGATTGACTCAGGTGCGAGTGTGAATGTTATTTCAAAGAGCCTTGTCCCGAGTGCAGAAGACATAGTCAAAGAGAACATCATACTGAAGATGTACAACCGTTCTCGTCTTCAAGCAGAAGGTCGGGCTAAGGTCGTGTTGCGTAACACTAAGAACAACAAGAAGTACAGAGTCAACTTCATCGTTGTTAAGGAGAACTTAGTACCACTCCTGAGCGGTCCAGCTGCACAACAGATGAAATTCATAACTGTACATTATGAGAACTTCAACCAGGTCTGTGCTGTAAGCCCTGAAAACATCTTAGAGAGTTTCAGTGACATCTTTGACGAGCAAACTCCTGGAAAACTACCTGGCAAGGTCAAGTTGGTGACCAGGGAAGAAGTGACCCCAACACAGTGTAACGCCAAACCAGTACCAGTTGCAATGAAGCAGAGAGTCAAGGATGGACTTGCTAAATTGGTTGACCAAGACATCTTGATAAAGGTTGAGGAACCAACCCCATGGTGTAGCAGACTGGTCGTTATTGAGAAGAAAGACAAGAATGAATTGAGGTTTTGCATTGACCCAAGACCCCTCAACAAAGCCTTGCAAAGGGAAATACACAGATTGCCAGTCATGGAAGACATTCTCCCGGAGCTGTCAAAGGCTAAGATCTTTTCCAAGTTTGATTTGAGATCAGGCTACCTCCACTGTGAGCTTGATGATGAGAGTAGCTTCCTTACAACAATGAACACCCCGTTCGGGAGATATAGATGGAAAAGACTACCCTTTGGTCTGAATGCGTCAGCGGAAATATTCCAAAAGAAGCTACAACAGGCTTTGGATGGCCTTGATGGAATTGAGTGTGTTGCTGACGACATTATCCTGTTTGGTGTTGGAGACAACAGAGAGCAAGCAGAGAAGGACCATGATCGTAAGCTAGAAGCTCTGCTCCAGAGATGCAGAGATAAAGGTATCAAACTCAACCAGAAGAAATCTGTGCTGAAGGCTACAAGCATTCCATTTCTAGGACACATAGTGACAGACAAGGGACTGAAGGTAGATCCTGAAAAGGTCAAAGCAATTCTAGAGATGCCCAACCCTTCTGACCCTATGGAAGTGCAACGCCTACAAGGCAGCGTCAACTACCTCGCAAGGTTTCTACCTATGCTGTCCGATATGTTTGAGCCGTTGAGACGACTAACACATAAGGATGCCGATTGGGAATGGACATCGGAGCACGAGAGGGCAATGTCAAGAGTGAAGGAATCTTTGACCAGGGCACCTGTCCTAGCATATTACTCACCAGACCTACCACTGACCATCCAGTGTGATGCAAGCAAGTCAGGGCTCGGAGCAGTACTTCTCCAGAAGGGACAACCGTTGTCCTACGTTAGCAGAGCTCTAACAGCAACTGAACAGAGGTACGCCCAGATCGAGAAAGAGGCACTTGCCATATGTTTCGCTCTCGAACGATTCCACCAATATACCTTTGGACAAAGGGTCATAGTCGAGAGTGACCATAAACCTTTACAGGCGATCGTCAAGAAACCTCTCCATAAGGCACCAAGACGCCTTCAAGGAATGTTAATGAGGATGTTGCACTACGACATCGACATCACCTGGGTAAAGGGACAGGACATGCATCTGGCTGACATGCTGTCAAGAGCTTACCTACCCACCACTGTAGGAGCCACTGAATTTGGTGAGGTGAACATCGTTGAAACCCTGAGTATGGGAGAGGAGAGGGTTAAACAACTGCAATCTCATACTAACAATGATGAGGTTCTACAGACCGTCAAGAAGGTCATCCACAAAGGTTGGCCGGAACAGAAAGCAGAAGTACCCGAAGCGGCTAAGTCATACTTCAATATCCGAGACGAGCTAAGCGTGCAAGATGGACTAGTATTCAGGGGAGAAAGAGTAGTCATCCCCATAACCCTCTGCAAGGAAATGAAGGAAACTCTTCACACTTCTCATCTTGGAATTGAAGGGACCCTTAGAAGGGCCAGAGAAATCATCTATTGGCCTGGGATGAACGCGGATGTCAAGCAGTTTATCCAGACATGTGAAGCCTGCAGAATGTACGAGCTGCAGAACCAGAAGGAAACCCTCATGCCACACGACATCCCAGACAGGCCATGGGAGAAAGTAGGTACCGACCTGTTCGAACTTAACAAGAAACACTACCTCGTTACCGTCGACTACCTTTCCAACTTCTGGGAAATCGACAGACTGTATGACCTTGGCAGTCGGGCAGTAATTGGGAAACTGAAGAGCCACTTCGCTCGATATGGCATCCCGAGCACTGTAATCAGTGACAATGGACCACAGTACTCATCCGAAGATTTCGCGAAGTTCTCTAAAAGATGGCAGTTTGATCACGTCACAATCTCCCCAAGACACAGCCAGGCAAATGGGAAGGTAGAAGCTGCAGTGAAGGCTGCAAAGAGACTCCTCAAGAAAACATCACAGTCTAAGGGTGACGCCTACCTAGCAATGCTAGAACTCCGAAATACCCCAAACCAAGGTGTTGACAGTAGCCCAGCGCAAAGGCTTCATGGACGGAGGACGAGAACACTACTTCCCACTTCATCCAGTCTCCTGAAACCAAGAGGTGCAGAGGTTCTCAGTGAAGACAGGAAAAAGCTTAAAATGCTACAACGTAAGCAGTCGGAACGCTACAACTTACATGCCAAAGATCTGCCGACCTTAGTAGAAGGAGATATCGTACGTCTCAAGCCATACAAATCAGGAAGCACAGTTTGGCAAAGAGCAGTGGTAAATAGACGGCTCGACGAGAGGTCCTACGAGGTGGAGACCGACTCTGGATTACTCCTCAGAAGAAACAGGGTCGACCTCAAGAGAACTGAAGAACCCCCACCAAACACTGAGGAAGATCAACAGAAAACAATTTCTGAGAAGCCACAGCCACAACCACGTGCTCATGGGACTGAAAGGAAAGAGGCGTATCTACCATCTAACACTGTCATGACTAAACACCCTCAAAGTACTCAAAATCACGTGAAAGAAAACAAACCTCAGAGAACACAAAATACTCGAACAGAACAGGTAGACAAAAATGACACTCATTCTTTCCTAAAGACCAGATCTGGTAGAGTAAGCAAGCCACCCCAAAGATTTGGTGACTATGTTGACAAGTAAGATGTTTGAAGCAAAAAATATGATTCTGTGATTTTGTTGAAAACTAATGCAAGTTAATATACATATGTGTTGAAATTATTTGATTGACAAAGATGTCTAGCCAAAGTTTTGCGGAACATTTTAGTATGATCAAGAATTTAAGTCAAAAATATCCTGATAATGTTTTATTTTGCTAAGATTTCACTCCCAAGAGAGTTTGATCAGATTGAGTTTGTTAGTTTGAAAAGTGTTATGCTTACATTATGTATAATAGACAGCTGTAAATAAGTACTCTAGTGTTGTGTTAGAAAAACAAAACAAAATGAAGGAAAAAAAAGCATTTAATTTGTTGATATTTTAATCATAAAACTGGTTACAACTGATATACTACATAGCAAAGATTGTATTTCGAGCTATTTAATCTTATTTGTACACCAAAGTCATGTTCTAGTTCAACATTCGACTATATATTCCATGCTCTATGATTTTGATATGTTAAAGTTAAAGATTGCACTAAGACAGAAATTTCAATAACCACAATTATTTGTTTTGTGTATCCATGACAGTAATATGGTTATATCCTTTAAATAATCATGTCACTCCACATCTTTTACAAAAAAGGGAGGATGTAAGAATATGTATAAATATTCATTAGGAGCAGCTACACTGTAAGCGCGCACGAAAGATTGTGACGTAATAAAGAGTTTTAAGACTCATCAGTTTTTGGTTTAGACACATGAACACGATGTAGTCCCTGTCTTGTATTGTACTAGTTTAGTTGGATTTGAGTGAATCAACCCTAGGCCAACAGCTATCAAAACAGTAATGACGTCGTCGATACGACAACAATTATCTTGGAATAAATAAAGGTCATAATGACGTCGTAATGACGTCGTCAATACGACAACAATTATCTTGGAAAAAATAGTAATTTAAAGACGTGATAATGACGTCGTTATCACGTCGTCAATACGACAACATTACATTGGAAAAAATTAGTATTTTAAAGACGTCATAATGACGTCGTCGATACAACAAAAATTAGCTTGGAAAAAATAATCTTTTAAAGACGTCATAATGACGTCGTTATTACGTTGTCAATACGACAGCATTACATTGGGAAAATTAGTCTTTTAAAGACGTCATAATGACGTCGTCGATACGACAACAATAAGCTTGGAAAAAATAGTATTTTAAAGACGTCATAATGACGTCGTTATCACGTCGTCAATACGACAACATTACATTGGAAAAATTAGTCTTTTAAAGACGTCATAATGACGTCGTCGATACGACAACAATAAGCTTGGAAAAAATAGTATTTTAAAGACGTCATAATGACGTCGTTATCACGTCGTCAATACGACAACATTTCATTGGAAAAATTAGTCTTTTAAAGACGTCATAATGACGTCGTTATCACGTCGTCAGTACGACAAAACTTAGCTTGGAAAAAATAGTCTTTTGAAGACGTCAAAATGACGTCTTTAAGACGTCGTTAATACGACAAAAATTGTCTTGGAAAAAATAGTCTTTTAAAGACGTCGTTATGACGTCGTCAATACGACAAAAAATATCTTGACAAATTAGTCTTTTAAAGACGTCATAATGACGTCCTAATGACGTCGTCCATACGACGTACGACGTGTTTACCACTTTACGACCAATTTATGACGTCTTTAAGACGTCAGTCTGCTATCAAAAAAAAATTAAAAATGAATAAATAAATAAATAATTAAAAAAAAAATATTTAAAAAAAAATATTAGAGCCTAATATATTTTTATAATAAAGGGTACATAGACTAATAATAATGATATCTAAATATACCGGTAATTGTAAGTACTAATTCTAATAATAATGATAATAATGATGGTGATGATGATGGAACGTGGTGATCATTTCTTTGATGCAATGATGTCATCTGCACGCTGTCAGTGTCAAAGCCAATGTCAAGTAGGCGCAAAGTTTTTGTTTATACCGGTACCTTTACCGGAAGTCTAATGCAGGCCTACGCTACGTTAACTTTGAAGCTTTTCTTCGTCTTGATTGTTGTGAGATTTTTACCTGCTGTTGATGATCATTGTGAGTATTTATTCATTTTGTAACAAAAATAGAAATTGTGAACATATTTCATACATTATGAAATCTTACTCTCCCAAAGGACAATAAATCAGCTCGAAAATAACAATGAATAGCTCTTGAAAGAATAAATGGAAACATGGATTTCAGTATATGGGACAATGGTTTATATTAATTGCATAGCATGAACATAGAAAATAGCATTAGTGTTGCAGCTGCAGTGCTGTTATTTTACGAATGTAGGCTAATTCAGTTTTATTAAATAATGACCCATACCAGACGGTTATTTCTGTCTAATGAAGAAGCAGAGTCGTTCAGAGAAGACAAGTTCTTTGTTTTTGTATGTGGCAATTAAACTGTGCAAATTTCATAGAATCTAGATTTTACTGTTTGTTTAGATCTATATTTTGGAAAATAAGATGGAGTGTAATAATATTGCAGCCAAAGTGGATATATGATCTTGGTCCGGCTGAACTGAACCATTCCTTTCATACACTACCCGTACACCGATACGCCATACATGTACTAGTTCAATCTAGACTCTACAGTATGTACTATAGAGTCTACAGTAGTAGAGGCGGTCATAGACAGAAATAACCATCTGATTTGGGTCATTTCTTTAATAAAACTGACATTTGTTGTCATTCCCCAATACAGATGGTAACCCAGAGATCTCAGACCGTGGGGGTGGCTATGAACATCTTTTCGTTCACGACATTTTCTTCCCGATTTTCTTTATTTAGATCTAATTTTCTGATTTCTAAATTAGATGTAAATTAGGTCGGTCTATATATCTCCTAATTACAGTTTTCAAAATTTGCTAACCTATCATAGAATGTGAAATTTTCGGACTTACTTATATGAATTATCCAATTTGTATCTTTGAACTGGTTCATGCACGTTCATGCACTCGAACATAGAGCTATATGACCCGGCGGCCGATATATATTTCCGGGTCAATTCCTACCAAAACATAGCCAATGGCCAATCAGAGCACTCGTTTCGTGGGAGTTCGTTGGTCAAGCCGGGCTGACTCGTACGTAGCTAAGGTAGCTATTGGACGTTCAAAAAGAAAAAATGAATATTCATCAACTAAAACCAAGACGGATAATGTTGACGACGAGACTTTCTCGGGTTAATCATTAATTTAGGATCTAAATGAGCAAGCTATCGTAAGTCAAATAAGCTATATATATGTTATTTTTAATTTTTATTATAATTGCAGCAGTTATGAGGATGTAAAGAGTGAAAATCTCATTGCATATCTCATTCATCGCGGTCCGGTCGGACCGAACCATTTGTTCTGTACAGTCCCGTACAGTCCCGATGGGACATACTTCAGTCTCTATAATCGGAGGTCTAGTGGAGCCAGACGTAGTCTCAGTGGAACAACCGACGATTAGAGAGACTGAAGCTTTCGGTCTAAGGCGGTCAGAGCTAGCTCAGAGGAGCCAGATGTAATCTCAGCAGAACAATCGTTGATATCAGAGACTGAATTTTTCGGTCTTCTTCTTCATATATTAATTTTTCAATCTCATTCTTTCACAAAATCCCACCCAGTGTTGTAAAAAACTTTTGAAATGGTACATTTGTTATACTATAAATACTAACGTGTACATAGGCACTTGTTCTAATTTCTCAACCTTTGACAAAATCCCATACAACATTAAACTAATTGGACTCATTTAAAAACCCAGGTTTGTCCTGATGTCAAGCCGGCTTCTTGCTTGGCTAGACAAAGAAACAGTAAAGCATCGTATACAAGGCAAACAGCGCTCTCGCGCATACTCAAGTGGGTCGTGAAGCTATTGTTCACCCTCTTAGATGGCGGCATAATTGGTCGTCCAGACAACGGGGACGTCAATGCATAAGAACTCTATACCCAGGCCAGACATTGTGTACCCGGACAGTTGATTTGAAGAAGTTTACATGCAATATTTTATAAAATCTTGTAAGACCTACCGGTATATGTAAGAAAAGAATATAAAAGGCTACTATTTATGATGGTTAGTGCTAATTGATACATACTTTTCTATAAATACTAAGGCAAAGGCGACATCTTTATTTGTGTTAAGCATCTGGACTCTGGACACGATGTATTCAAGTTAGGTGCTGTGCAGGTGTATACAGTATGATAAATGGTTATGATGTTGTGTCCAGTTGTACGAATTTCTTATTTTTCTAATTATAAATATGCAGATACTGTACAGTACTTCCTAACACATTTATGGGTTATACCGTTATTCTAATGCCTCTTCTTGTAACAAAAACTCAAAAGACCACAACATTTTGCCAATCTTTTTTTTTTTATATGTTCATAATTTTGAAGCCAATTCCAAAGAAAATGTTGTCCCCAATTAATTTTAGTTTACTCTTTCCATTAGTGGTATCAGATTTTCAAAATATTATAGATTTTTTTAGATATGGAACTGTAAGCGAAGTTCAGTCATGCTGCATGCACAAAAGGCAATAAAGTCTACATTATTATTGTCCAAATTTTTATCTTTGTTTAGGTTTTTGTCCCACTAGTTTTTGAAAAAGAAAAGTAGGGTAGTTTAGTAGGATAGTTTTCTTTGCCTCATGTGGTACAGTATGTTGTGAACCATCAAATTTTACAGATCAAATATAAAAGTTTATGAGGAGTGTGGAAAATCTTTATAACAAATTGTGGGGAAGGCTCCTGTTTAATTAAGAATTTGTCTTTTTGGAGAGTCACAGACCTTCTGGCTGCATACAGATGAAATTTAAAAAAAATCTGTAATTGCTTTGAGATGTAGATTCATTTGCTCACTGTTTCTATTTCTTCACTTGTTCTTTTACTGTAGGTTGATACATAAACCAGGAAGACTGTAAATGGAAACATCATCCTAGTCTCTGCTCTCGACTGACTCTTTTGACAACACTCCCATGATGCGTCCTTTCTCCTCGCAACATCCTCTGAACTGATTTACATCTAGGAATAACCAATTGGCAGAGAGAAGCTGTTAACCTACCTTGATAGACCTAGATGCTTTGATATCACATGCATCAGCAGTCTTTCTTAATCTCCATTTGCAACCTTTAACCTTTTGAAGTTCTGAATGACTAATCTTTAACATTCAGATGATGGACTCTGTATACGTGACAGTCCAGAGAGAGGATTATGTCAACAAACTGTTCATCTCTGTTGTGAAGTTTATTGATTGCGATGGAGGAGTGCCCAGTGGAGACAGGAAGAACCCAAACCTCAATCGCTCTAGCTGATCAACCTCCCTCTATCAAAAATCATGAATTGAGATCAGCATCATCTGAAGATCAACATGCCGTACATGACAGCAAAGCCAACTTGCACCATCATAAAAAGCATGGGAAAAAGAGCATTCTTGATCAGATTGTGCTGATGAAACTGAACAAGAAGCAGGGTGGTGATCTTTGCAGAACAACGACAGAATCTGTAGAAGAACAAGTTGGAGAAAATGATGAGACAAGGGATGCACATGAAGACTCGTTCGCAACAAAACAGTGCGGAGACAAAAAGTATGTTGGTGAGAATGTGGTAGGAAAAATGAACAAGAGGAAAAGAGGTAGACGTATTCAGGGTTCGTTCTGGAATGGTAATAGTCGAGAGCAAGAATTTAAGACTGAAAGAACGGATGAGTTTACACAAAGAGAACAAAAATGTGTAAGTGATAAGGAAGTGACCGGAAGTCATTATGATGGAGAAGCTGATAAAGAAGGTTTGATCAAAATAGAGGAGATGATGGATGCTGCGGTTGATAAAGAAACAGTTGCTGAATCATCGAAGGCACCACAAGGAATTCCTTCAGTTGGTGGAAGGTTTCAAGCTCTGAATGCAAAACGCAATATCTTTAAGACAAGTGGCAAGCTCTTTGGAATGATGAGCAAGATGGAGGATCGCAAGAGACACACCTGTAGTGAGTGTGGGCGTAACTTCAACCAGCTAAGAGTTCTAACCATGCATCAACAGATGCATACTGTCAAAAGGACACCATTCCTCCCAAACGATGAGCAGAGTTCCAGGGAACAGACTTTAAAAGTTCGACAGCATAGTGGGCAACAAGAACCTGGTTTGCGGGGGGAAGCTCAAAGTGAGAAAAATGATTTCTGCAAAGAGATAGAAAAAGAAGTGGCTCAATCAAGAACATGCTTGCAGGAAATTGAAGCTCAAAGTGCTTATGAGAAGGAATCGGGTGTAGGGGAAGAGGAAGAAGTGACTCAGTCAAGGAATTATTTACAGGAGGTTTCTGAACAGCATGTAAAGGGTGCTAACCATGTCAAAGCTACAACAAAGAAGCGAAAAGTACTTGATCCTGAAATAAGAAAAGTTGATCTTGAAGAGTCTTGTTCAGATCAAAAGGGATATCCATGTGAAGTATGCGGGAAGATCTTCAGCTTGCCATCTTTCCTCCGGAGACATGAAATAGTTCACACCGGGGAGAAAGCGTTTTCCTGCAAGCACTGTGGGAAGCGATTCGGTCAGAAGGCCTCTCTGCAGCGCCATGAACAGACGCATGGGAGGAACCAGCCGTACATGTGCAATGAGTGCGGTGATGGCTTTTCATCTTCTCAAAGGCTAGAGAGGCATGTGAAAGAAAGACACAGAGCATCAAGCAAGGAATCAGATCTACCCCCTATCAAAATCTCTTTGAAATCACCGAAACCTGAGGAATCTCTAGCAACTGATTGTGTTCTTGGAGAAGAAGAAACACTGGGGAAGGAGAGTGAAGCAGTAGATACTAATACAGAAATGTATATGGAGTCATCGGTCTTGGAACAGCCTAAAGAACCAAAGGTATACACATGCTTTGTCTGTGAGAAAACCTTTCTCCTACGCAGTCATCTCCTTCGCCACAGTTTGTGCCACACTGGAGAAAAACCTTTTAAATGTAAGGAATGCGGCAAAGGTTTTACTCAAAAGTCCACATGCCTGCGCCATGAGAGGACCCATTCAGGTGAACTCCTCTTCATCTGTACCGAGTGTGGAAACAGTTTCGCCCAAAAGAGCGGCCTTCAAAAGCACCGTCGTATTCACACTGGCGAGAAACCATATGGATGTCGCTTCTGTGAATGTCGGTTCACTCAGAAGACGACCTGTCAGCGACACGAGCGTATTCACACTGGGGAAAAGCCATACGTGTGCCAGCAGTGTGGGAAGGCTTTTGGACAGAGTACATCTTTGGAGAGACACATCAAAACGCATGCAAAGGTGAAACAACCTGGTGATGAAACAGAGCTAAAATAACTGAAATAGATAAGATTGGACTTGTGGTATGCACTATGCAAAAAATTGAATCACAATGAGCTGCAAACTGGACTTTAATCAGGCAGGGGAGGGGGTGTTTTGGGGGTTAAACCCCTCCCCCCTCAATTTTTTTTTTTTTTGCTCAAGGGGGGGGGGGGGGGGGATGTGCTAAGTCAATAAAAACCTAACCCCCCCCCTCCCACCTCCACTGAGCGAAATATCGGTCAGCGCGATTTTCAAACACCCTCCTTGAAAAAATACTCGCCACTGACTTCAATAATGTGTGGTACATGTAAGGGTTGGCAACAAAACCCATTTGAGAAACCTTTACCCAAAAACAGTTCTAAACACGCTGTAGTTTTGAAAGGAGCATCGCTTGATCATTTAAGTTGGCATTACACCTACTTTGCTAATCTAGTGGAATTTGTTTTCTTTCCACAATGCTTATGTAAAGTAGAAAAATAAGGTTATCACTTGCCATGGGTGGCAGTCTGCAAACGCTGTTCTAATTTGCTAAGAGATACAGTTCACTTTTGTCAAAATTATTTTAAAATTATTTTGCACAGGATCTGTTTTCAGGTTGAATTTGAGCAATTTAGCAGAATGTTAAAACTAAAATTAAAATCAGTTTCATTATAGTTTCTATGCTTTATGTTATTTAAATTTAAAAACTCTTGGTTATTGATAAAAGGGCTCAAGATTTCCCAATTTGTTGTACTGTACAGACACATTTTACTTTATTAATTCCATGGAAAGATCTAGTGCTTGGAAAGTAAGCGATGCTCATTTGTTGATAAAAACTAGAAACAATTAAAATTCCATGGGACAATAAGTAAGTTGAAAACGCGTTCTCATGTGCTTCAATTTATATTTATCTAGCTATGAACTTATTGAACGCCCCTTGTATGATGTATCTCATCTTGAGCAATGGTAATGGCATAGAATGTTAAGAGAAAGTAGCTAAAATTGTCCTGAAGTGTTTATCTTTCATTGTTTTGGTAAAATATAAGCAAACGTTAAGAATTAGCTTGAAATCACACTCTTAGCTAGTACAATTCTCTTTGCTACATGTAAAGCTTTTCATTAGTATACCTTTCTATTCTCATTATTGTCTTTTTAGCAGATTTGTTAAGGTTTTTGGTAGACTATATGTTGACACAGCGCCTTGAGTACAGACAATACAGCTAATAGGGATGACTTTTTTACCCAAAACAGGCAGAGCTTACATTAATTTCTAGAAAAACCCGCTATAAGGCCATTTAGACAAGAGGCAGTAAATTGCCTTTAAAGACCGTCACCACTACTGGGCAAGAAGGGATTAGACCACACAGCGAGCCATCGAGGTCACTGTGACAGGTGGCTATCTCATTAACTCAGCTCTCATTTAACATAAGAAAAAGAGGATCATGGGGGACCAACAGGCACCGATTGGGGAAGTTTTCTATATAGAGGGAGCAAGTAGCTACAAGTATGGCAGTGTGCCTTTAAAAAATGGCAAAATCAGACAATAATTGTCAGTGTAGATGTGATGTGCTACACATTTCTCTATTTCGTATCACACAGATCAAGAAGAATGAAAGGGAATTATGCTACTTCCCCACCCTCTCCACATGCACCCACTAGAATGGCCCCTCAGGTTCATTTTCACACAAAAATTTGTCAGGGTTTTTTTTTTTCGGGGGGAGGGGTGGGATTGTCTGTGTCATTTCTGACATTAGCTTTAAGTTCATTTAGAGTTTAGGTGATGGATTTGCATTTTTATACAAAGAGGCTTTATTATAGTTGTGAATTGTATGTTATACAGTGAATGTGTAGATTATACCATCAGATCATGAACTATTTATATAATATGGAGTGGCCTTGAGGGAGATACAAATTACAACATATATTTCCCAAACTAGACTCATATTGCCCCGAGTCAAAGACGAGGGCAATATATGTCTTGTGAGGGCAATGTGTGGTATCTCCCGAAAGTTAAGCCAGTCATTATTCATCTCAATGGTTTTACAATTTGGGTACAATTGACCTTTATCTGGCCATGCGCAAATCCTAATTACGAACTCGCTTATTGCCGTTTAGTCTACAAGTTTGTCTGCTACCCAATTGGTCTATTCCCTTATATGCATGGTCTACCCCTAGCCCATCTGTTATCCACATGCTCTCATAATCATTTTATCTTCTTATCATTAGGTCCAATAACCATCTATTCAATTTCAAATATGTCCACCACCCATTTGGTCTATTGTTCATTTAGTCTTATTCCTAGATTGTCTAATGCCCTTTTTTTTAATCCAATGTACAAAAATTGAGAATGATCCTATCTGTTTGGATTGAAATCAATAAAGTTTGAATTTGAATTTGAATTTAATCATAAATGATAATAATCATCAAATGATAGCAGATCATATGGGAATCGACCGATTAGTTAATAGACGAACTGGTTGTAGATCAAACGTCATTAACCCGCTGGTCAGAGGTAGTACATTTAACAATTTTTTTTTCTTTTAATTTTTTCAGGTTTTATACATTTTCTACCAAATTTGTTAGACAAACAGCATTATACTCTTGAAAATGTGATATAAGTTTTGTTTGATTCAATTTTTGTCAAGACCAAAACTTGAGTAATTTTCCTTTAAAGATGATCATGCGTTGTTATATAGTCGTTCGTGAAGCCAATGTGCATACGTCTGTGTGTTGCCCTCTAAATACCCATGCTTGAGCAACTTTAAAATTGTTGTGTAATTGCCAAAATTCTTGCTGAAATTGGAATGCAGTTGTGATTAGTAGATATTTTTTTGAGGGGGTCGGTGCAACGTAGTGCTAATGTATATATGTTCTAATATTGGTGCATTCGAAAGTAGTCATTTTAATACAATGTGATGAAGGAATGTCAGTTCCGTTGCTATTTGACAAAACCTTTAAAGGTAAGGACCATTATGCACGTACATCTCAATTTTCAACTCATATACATGTATTGGGACTATTATGATGTTATTTGACAAACCTTTAAAGGTAAGGACCATACTGCTATTACATGACAAACAGCATAACTGACATTTCTTGCAAAATTTAGTTATTTAGTGTGGGTGACTCAGAACATCAAGTTCCACATGTTAAACTACAATTTAGGGTTTAAAAAAACTGTTCCATTGTATAGATATTAGAATGTCAAAACAGCTCAACATATTAAATGAATCTAGCAGGAATTCCATGCACATTTCTTCCTATATCTCAGTTATGCTGTTTTGTTGTGGAAGGGCAGCATAATTGCATGTACAACATCTCAATTTCTCAACTCATATACATATCTTGGGACTATCACTTGAATGCACAGACCTCAATAATTTATAGGATTAATTATCATTGTAAAATGTATTCATGCCCATTCATCATGCTCAAAATAAAATTCAATATTAAAATAACAACTTTTGTCATGTGGGTCATGTGTTTCATACAACTTGCGTTTCCTCTTTCTTTACACGATCCATTCCTCCATTGACATTAAGAGATCCATTTTCGTAATGTAATCATATTTAATGCACAAATATTTCTTAAGTGCCTCTTTACAAAAAATGTATTTCACCTGTTAGGAATAATTGGACATGTACAATATCTCTGTAGTCAGAAAAATAATTGCATGTATTAATTGCAGCAAGGTACATGTAGGACTGAGATTATACATGTACCTGCAATGATATTCCAGGGGTCTATTACCTAACCAATATTACAAATTTTAAACTTATCAAATTTAAACTGTATCATAATGTGAAAGAGGATGTCATTTGAAAGGGATCAGGTAACTTTGTCTGAAACAAAATCCTTGAATTAGCTCATGCTGCAATGATAATTATATACCTTTAGGTCAGTCAGGAACCCCATGACTTTTACAAGCCGATGGCCTGTCTGATTATCAAGACATTTATGATTGAAAATCAAAATTCAAAATGTTTTCTGAATGGTTTTCATAACACTACAGTCTATTGGGGGAAATGAGTATGGTGAAACCGGTCACTCAAAGATTTTACTATTTTGAAGCACTTCATGATTATTTTGAAGCTCAATTTTTTTAAGGCTTCAATATTACACCATATCACAGACATTGATAACACGTAGGGCCATGAATATCAGATTTAACATTGTTGACCGATGCCTTTAAGACACACTTCTGCAAAGATTTCCCTCAACAAAATGTGTTTGGAGACCAATATTGATAAAATTATACATAATTTGGGTTTTCTGTTGTACTCGGAAAACCCAAATTTTGTATTCTTTCATCAATATGTGACTGCAAAGTTCAAACACATTTGTTTTGAAAATCCTCGCAGAAATGTGTCTTAAATGACCTCTTCACATTATGATAGAGTGAAATTGAATTGACATTTTGCCATCATATTTTTAGGTCTCCCAACAGGGGCTTTAATATTTTTATAACTTTTTATTCCAATGTTTTTCATTCAATATAACACTTGGTATTGGCCCTATATATATATCTAAGAAATTTATAATTGAATTGTAATCTTCCTTCTTATAGAATAATACAGAAAATGATGGCAACCTTCTCCATTAGACACATTGTGCTCTGGGAACTACACGTATAATGACGGGTAACTCTGCACAACTCAAAGTCGGACAAATCAGACTTTCCCCTAAGTCAATTTTTTACCCTACCAAAACCAAACTAGGCAAAACATGTTATTTTCTCTCCCTTAGTCAAATGTTGCATCAGTTTTGTTTGTTTGTTTGTTGTTGTTTTTTTTTTTTTAGGGGGGGGGGGGCGCTGTCCTACCAGATTCGACATGAGCAAAGTTAATGTACCTGAAAAGACATGTAAATTGTAATTTGTTATCATTATCCAGACCAGACAAACAAGAAATGATTTCCCTTAAGACAGCGATGTGGTGGTAGACAGAATATTTATTTATTTTTAGATAATGAAGTCATTATTACAAATAGACCAGTGTGCTTATATACTAATACACGACTACCACTCATTCACAAGGGTGTTTATAAACACAAACAAAATTGTCCATTCAACCAAGCGAGGGCTTGGTTCTAAAGTAACATCACAAGCCCAAATAATTTACAAACATATTTGACAGCATTTTTATTTCCACCACTTATCCACACAATTCTGATTTTCTTTATTCTTTGTTAAACCTTGCGCATTATATTTTTGATAGCATTACAACTTGCTTTCTCTTGCTATATGTATAGTGCTGCTGCATTAAAATACAGTTGCGTTTCAAAAGACGAACACTTACATATTTTATGGTTAACATATAGTATACGGGGTGATGAATATGCTTCGTTTATTTTTTTTTTGTAAATGAAGAAAAAGAAAAAACACACTGGTGATTGTTTAAGATACAAACACAGGTACCTGAAATATCAAATATACTGGATGAATGACTTTTAGCAACTATTGAACTGAATAATTCATCTATTTAATATAACTGAATATATTACCACATCAGTTCTTCCCTCGTTATTCACTTTTAAAATCTACAAAACAACACACGTCAAATAGCTTCCTGATTAATCCTATGTTAGCATTTAATATCTCATGAACGGAATATCGTTCCACTTCAAGGAATCAATTTGAGGTTTCAGTGACAACAAGACGTAAGTCCATATTTTGCCCAAATTAGTATTTGATATCAAAATGTTCAGGAAAATGTGGGCTTTCCAGGAAACACAAAGACGTAACTCCACCCAACACCCCATTGAAGTCAATGGCTAGTGAAACATAGACTTGACTCCATGAGGCCCAAGTGCTCAGTGACACATAAACTATTTTTTCTCAAAATGGCAAAAATGGAGTAACGTCTTGGAGTCACTGACCCCTTAAATTGTTGAAAAATTGGTAAGTAATGGACGTCTCACTTTCCCTTATCATATAAGATGCAGGGGAATGGTAACGCTTGCCTTGGGGCTCGTTCAGATATGATGTTGTAAATCGTGTAAATGAATGGCAAACGTGCGCAACACAGGTCCTGTATGTCTCAATGACATAATAATATCACACTCTCATGGAGCCAAATCCATTGAAAGATAAAATACTCAAGATCTGTGTTATAAGACACAGAAATGTCAAACGTATTACACTTTACGACATCTTCATAACAAAACAAAAAGCTGCTGTTTTACCGCATCACATCTCAACAGGGCTTTAGAGGCATTTTTTCCATTCAGACTTGCAGATACTTGACCCTCACCATTACTTGCCATTATCTACAAGTAAAATAGTTTCTATGTTCCTACAGCAATGTGAACAAGCCTGAACACACTGTGAAAAGTGAAGTAAAGAACAGAGCTAATCCTATCACAGTACAAGGGTCAAGCCCAGTGAGAATCAACTTTGTAGAGTTGCATCCACTTTCAGATTTCTAGATATTTTCTATAAACACTGCAGGAATTCAGTCTGATTCCCTCCGTTTACGTCTGTAAATATCCACATGTGTAATAATCATGTGCGATAACTGCATATACAAGGAGGTGTAGCCTTGGAAAAAAAGTTTAAAACTGATCTCAAATTAGTTTCACATGTCTAATGACAACCTATGTGCAATCCCTTTAGGACCACAACTGACTAAATCTCTGTATACCTAGAATGCTCACTAATGAAACAGATCTCTTTAAGTTTATTTGCAACTTGCACAATACATGTTGAAAAGATGCCTTTAATGTACATGTATAAAGCAAGAAAGGAAACAAGACTTGAAAAATCAAATAATCTCTGCATACAGTACATATATCCCCGACTAGTGTGGTGGGGGAAACAACAGATACACGGTATGCTTAAAGAGCATTCAAACATCTTGATTCCAACGCATTTGATGATGACAAAAATAATTGTTGCATTTTCATAAAATTCATTAATTCCTGTAAGTCACAAAACCCAATCAAATATTCCACTAATAGTTTCATGATGATTTTTAAAACACATCTTAGTTTTTAACGTCTAGATCTTCCAATTTAAGAATGCTTTCAGCATTATTCACGCAAATATCTGAAATATAAAAAGAAATCATGTCTAAAGATTTTTTTTCCGATACACAAGAATAGATAGTTGTGCAAAGTTCATCTCCATCATACTTTCTCCTTTCTTTCATACCAAGTATTTATGTACAATATTCACACAGGATGCCTGGTTTTTATGGGCAGCAAAATTAATAAAGAAAAATAAACAAACAATTCCGTGGCCAACCTTATTTCTGCAGTTATCTTTAATTCTGAAGTTTTGTTTATTCCTGTGTTACATTTATTTTGAAAGTTGATTTATTTTTGAGGTGATCTTAAATTGTGAGGTTGTCTTTACTTTTGCATTATCTTCATGTCTATCTCTGAATCTTTGTTTCTATCATTGTTTGTTTACTTTCCTTTATTAATATTGGCCCTTTTGGCTGCCCATACATTTTTAGCACTGAAGACAAAATTAAATAACAAACACAACTATTCAACAACAGTGACACAGTATACAAGACATCTTCAAGACACAAATGATGCTTTGACACAAGTCAACATCTGCTTGATAAGTTTTGCTTTCTCTTTAAACATGACAACTGTGCGACATTCTTCCTATTGGTTCAATTAATACAATAAAATCACATCAAACAGAGCAATACAAAGGCAATTTCTTTTGTACTTTAAGAGGATTTTTAAGTATGTTTTTGACCTCACTGTCCTATTTCATTTTTGGTATCAAAGATAGATTAAGAAATTGAATTGCTCAAGACAGTGGGTTTCTCAATCATCTACTACATCAGCCCAATGAAAACTAAAATCGGGTAGTTGAATAAAACAGTGTCACACTAAGACATCAGATGTTAAAGACCATATCCGAACTGAAAAATGAATGAAATAGATGAATTATATATATCAAGGGAAAGTTTATAAGCCATAGATTAAAGAACTATCAATTACATGGCAGTTTAGTGTTTGTCAGAGGAGAAACGGCTCTCTGAAAACTCAAATCTTACGCTTTGAGAATCAGAAGTTGTCGACCTAAAAACTTGATATCGACTTAATGACATCATGTGGAGTACGCATATTCACAATGGCTTTGCATTAAATAAGCACAGCTCATCGCCTCTGCTGTATAGGTGAGCCGATCGGGTCCACATGTTATGTCATCATTGTAACTTCTGCAAATTTGACCCCTGTTGACCCGTAATTTGGAGGGGTATGAAAAAAAAGGTTTCAATTTGCCTTTGAGCAATACTGAAAGGGAAATTGTTTTATTCCTTTATATTTGAATTCTACGTTCATTCAGTTTTCCACTTATATATAGTTGTTTTTTCATCGGATAGGGTGTTTAAGGCTGATCAATATGAAAAGAACATGAGACCTGCGATGTGTTTGACATAGCAGAAGCCAAATACATATCTCTCTATAACTGAATGCAGATATCTGGTAATATCGGCACAGCACATACAATCCCTATGCCACAGCAGATGTGGTTACTCCAGTTTACCATTAAACCACGTTCATCATCGGGATAAATATTTGAAAAAAACAATGAATTCTAACATATCATCTATTAAATTGTCACAATGTCAAAGTGATCTACAAAAGTTTAATGTGTTATGCCATTACTTTTATCAAAATGTGTTTTGCTTGAACTATCATCCAAATACAATGGCTTGCAACAACACTTTGGGGACTGCCTTTTATTTTGTTTGGGGTTTATTTTAAATCTCAAGTCTCAAAACGTATTTCTAGGAATTACCATTATAGCCTTGGGGCAGCAGACGAGCTGGTAGCCGGTCCTGTCTTCCTTCCATCCTTAAATGACTGTGCAGATTGGGAGAATGAGGAGAAGGTGTTTAAGTAGAGTAAGAAGAGGTTGGGCACCATTCTTTCTTTCTCTCCGATGCTTGTGCACTTCTATTTGATAGAGAGTGCTGTGTAGAAGAAGAAGTAGACAAACACATACATACATGTGTATGTACAGACAAACTGCACGATGTATGATGGTGGGCTACTAAATTATCTCTCAATTATAAAATACAGTCAAACCTGCTATAATGACCACCTGTCTACAAAGACCACTTTTTGTGTTTCCCTTGAAAATGGTTTCTCATTGAAACATGTACTAAAGGAACCTCTCTACAAAGACCACTTTTTGTGTTTCCCTTGAAAATGATTTCTCATTGAAACATGTACTAAAGGAACCTCTCTACAAAGACCACTTTTTGTGTTTCCCTTGAAAATGGTTTCTCATTGAAACATGTACTAAAGGAACCTCTCTACAAAGACCACTTTTTGTGTTTCCCTTGAAAATGATTTCTCATTGAAACATGTACTAAAGGAACCTGTCTACAAAGACCACTTTTTGTGTTTCCCTTGGGCGGTCGCTATAGATAGGTTGGACTGTACAACAATCTAAATATGAATTTGATTTCAATACTTTTAAATTACTACAATATATTTTCATACAGCGATATAATTTTTCTATTTGATCAATGATAACAAATAATTGATTGATGATACTGGACTATTTTCGTTATGTAATCAAATTTAATGCATAAAACTTAAAGGGAATACAAAGTTTTGGGAAATTTGGAAAATGGACGGATAGCAATTCTTTAAAATGTTGATATATTTGGATGCCCCTGAGGATGTATTATAAGCACTAGAAAAATAAGCCCCTAAAACACTGCTGCTTTCAAGAAAAATTGAATATAAAAATTTACCTGTGCTCCCGGTAAATTTTGATAAATTTCAAATAGCTCATACGGCCATCCAATGATAGATGCGACCATGAGAATCTCAGAATATGTAGTTGTGATATATAATTACCAAACTGGAAAGCAAAGCGGGCGATTTTAGCCAAGAAACATTGTTTTAAAGGTAAATTAATATCTTAACCTTGAGAGGGAGCTGTCCAACATAAAGACTTTGTTATCTATAATTTCATCACTTTACACACGATTTCAACCACACAATGATCACTGAATATTGTAGGATCGCATATGCTTCCAATATGTACATTTGAACCAAATTCACGACGCCGTACCAAAACTTTGTATTACCTTTAACGTGCCTTGTTCGAATAATTGTTTGTCCTACCTAGCAACAATTAATATATGCAATTTGCATTTTTAGTGCGGTTTGACAGTGTCAAGTGTGAAAGGGTGTTATCACTATGAACATGACTGACAAAGAAAGCGGACAAAATATACAGTTCCTCAGGTAGACAAAGGAACATCCCTTCACTGCTATTATGTAAAAATGTGTAGAACAGGTGTCACATGCATATTCACCTTTTTACATAATAGCAGTAAAGGGATGTTCCTTTGTCTACCTGAGGAACTGTATATTTTGTCCGCTTTCTTTGTCTGTGATGTTCATAGTGTATATACATACCTGCCATTGCCTCTTGGGCGTAGAATTTGACATCGACATCTGTATCTGTATTCAGCTTATCAAGCACTGGCTTGATTGAAGTCTGACACAAACTACAAAGAAACAATTCATATTCAGAGATGAAATTTAGTTCTGATCAGGCCATTATATATTGTCAAAGAATATCAATAACAATTGCCACAGATGACAAATCTGCTCACAGCACAACAATACAGTCTATTGGGGAAAATGAGTATGGTAAAACCGGTCACTCAAAGATTTGTACTCTTATGACGCACTTCATGATCAATTTTAAGCGTGATTTTTTTTTGTTAGGGCTTCAATATTACACCATATCACAGACACTGATAAAACAGTGTTATAGAAACCGTTAGAATTTTTTTTTTTGAAATTTAGATTTTCAATCATAAATATCTTGATAATCAGACAGGCGATTGGCTTGTAAAAGTCATGGGGTTCCTGACTGACCTAAAGGTTTATAATTATCATTGCAGCGAGAGCTAAATCCAGGATTTTGTTTCAGAATCTGAGACAAAGATAACCAATCCCTTTAATAATAATATTTAGCTTTTATATAGCGCTAAAGACAAATGTCTCTAAAAGCGCTTTACAAATATTACCCCGGTCATTGAATTCAGTGCTTGCCCGCACACACGGTGTGCATAATCTCCACTCCCTGGGGAGCATTCCAGCCAGGCGTTACTTGACGCTAAAAAAGTGTTTGACCAACAATGAGCTTACCTTGCTTCGATAAAAGGGCCCATCTTCTGGAGAGTCTTAGCGACGTTGAAACGTACATTGGCCACCGCATCCTCAGCGAGAGAGTTGATGATAGGCAACATCTCCCGACTGAGAACCTCCGGAGTGACCACATCGATGAGGACATTCATACAGAAGAGGCAGGTCATACGATGCAGGTAGTTAGAATCACGAGACATCCCAAGAATATGAGGAATGATGGTCCTCTGTGTGGAAAAGATGGAGATATTTGATTTGATTTCATTTGATTTATTTATTCGTCCACAATGTGGAAATATTGTATTGTATTGCATTCGTTTATTCAGATAAAAATCAACGGATTTGCAGCTAAAAGCTGAAATTGTTCGATTTACAGAGTAAAAAGTACATGGCATAACATTGCATTGACAACACATCAAAATATATAGAACACTTAACAAATATTGTGTATATTTAAATACGATTTACAAGTTTCATTGATGATATCAAATTGGCATTCGTTTTACATGAAATTGAAATTTGATAATCAACAATTTACAGGTTTAATGCAACAGTGATACGTAGGTGGGATAACATTTAGATGTTTATACAGATAAAACACAATAAAAGATAAGATATTACAGCTAAGTTTCAATATTGGTTAAACAAAGTGATGTTCCTGAACTCAACGAAATTGACAAATTAATCTTACATCAGAGAGAAAAAAGTGAAGAAACCTTGAATTAATTAAATAAGTATAGTGATGATAGAGATGTAATGTTGACATCGACAAAGATAAATATTAACAAGTAAATAGACTATTTCACATTGATTGGAAAAACAATTCTCAGGTTCTGTTTTTAATTGATATTGCACATAAAAGAGATACTAAAGTAGCAATCAGTAGATGCAAATGCATGTGGAAATATAAACAAAGACATTGTTTTGTTGACACAATATTTGTTAGTTTTAGTTCAAAGATTCAAGGTAAATTAAGCAGTCTAACAATAGTGGGTATCGTTGAGGAATAATACCGGGTAGTCCGACAGAGGGGGGGGGGGGGGGGGGGGGGGGGGGGGGGGGGGGGTGTTGAGAAGATGTGAAGAATATAGGCGACGGGAGATATCACTACGTAAGGGAGGGAGAAGATCCCGGTGCCGGGGGGATTTCAACAGAATGTGTTGAACAAATATGCTTCCCACCAGCATTACAATAATACAAGAAACAGAGTACAATAATATGAAACATGCAAAACAATAAAGCAAACAATTTCAGACAGGAGACAGAGAAGAATGGGAAACAGAGAGAGAGAGAGAGAGACAGAGAGAGAGATAGAGAAAGAGAAAGAGGCAGAGACAGAAAAGAATGGGGAACAGAGAAAGAGACAGACAGACAGACAGAGAGAGGGGGAGACAGAGAAAAATGAGAAACATATAGACAGAGAGAAAGAGATGGACAGAGAGACACATAAACAGAGAGAGATAGACAGACAGAGAGAGAGCGCAAGAGAAAGTGAGATAGAGCAAGAGGGAGACGGAAAGAAAAAAAAAGGAATGAAAGAACACATTCTGATCACAATGCATTGAGGTGGTACAAAATCAAAATTGGCAAGCTAAATGTTGGTCTTGTTTGTTTGTTTGTTTTACCTGACTGCTACGAAAGCATGTGTAAGTAAGCAACCAGGGGACTGGTGGCTGTAAGTCCTTCGAGGGCCTTGGTAATGAGGATTAATGCCTTACCAAAGGCACATCAACTTGGTTTTGAACCTGGGACCTCCCTATTAAGAGTTCACTGCTCTACCACTGAGCCATTGCACCCTCACACCCCCCCCCCCCCCCCCCTTACCATGTCTTTGAACACACCAGTGTAATGAAAACCATCACAATGGCAATTAATCTCAAGACTTACGCTTGAATTTGGGGATTTGCAATTGATTGCAACTTTCTTGCAACACCCCATAACTCTGCTCACATCCCATTGAACCAGCTTCATTCAATGGGATGTGAGCATGTGAACAAACTTTGCCTAACGATGATTTCTTCCAACATGCCCGTATGTGATTTCATTAAAGCCACACTGTCCTACTTGTAGCTACTTGCTCCCTCTATATAGAAAACTTCCCAAATCGGTGCCTGTTGGTCCCCATGATCCTCTTTTTCTTATGTTAATCGAGAGCTGAGTTGATGAGATAGCCACCTGTTAGTGACCTCCCTGTGTGGTCTAATCCCTTCTGGCTGAACTAGTACAGCAGGTCTTTAAGGGTAGCATGGAAGCTTAGTAGACTGATTGGGATAGAATAGCAGCTTACCTGAGCCCATGCTGTGCCAAACTTCTCTACCAGCTTCTTCAGGTTGTTTGTGGCAGCTTCTCTGATAGCGAATACTAGAGGAAGTAATACACAATTTCAAATTAAAATCAAAAACAGTATGCAACATTAAAGATAAAGTCGATTCCTGGTCATGCGATTGCATTGTGAAAGAAAAGGTGTGGAATCGATCACAAAAACGTTGATCATCTAGCATATAAGTATTAGGGGGTACTGAGAGGTTCTGGAATCATCAGAATGATAAGAAATTTGGCCCTGTCTTGGTAAAGTAACAAGCATTGTGCACAAAAAATGTATATGGGACTACACAAACATGTGGCATAAAAAATCTGTCCCAATTTTTATGATGTTACATGCCATATTTAGAGTATTAAGGCATTTGAAGAGCCATGCTTTTAAGGGAACACTTTTTATCTGATGTTCTTCCACACTTGCATAATACCATGATAACACTCACAAATTATTTTTCACCTCTTCCCAGAACTCAACTTTCTCTTTAAATGGGTACCTGATAGGATACCAACGTAGTTGTAGTTTGCTCAGCATTGTGAGTGTCTGAAAATTGATGCCTGGCTGGAATGCTACCCAGGCAGTAGAGAATGTGCATACATTGTGTGCGGGCAAGCCTGAATCCAATGACCAGGGCAATAATACATCTGTAAAGTTCTTAGACACATCAAAGTATTAAGCGCTATATAAACCCAGAATATTAATACTATTAAAAATTGATACTTTCTTTTGGAAGTGTCATAAATCTAATTTCCTAATGATGTACACCGTCCAGGTGAACATGTTCAACTATGTAGAATCATACGTTGTACATAGATAGGTTAATAGACTTACCATTATCCACCAACCATGCCATGCAAAGCTTATTCAGCTGCTCATCAAAGAACTCTACACCCTGCATAAACAAATCACAAATATCCAAACAGGGTAATTTACATGTACACTAAATGCATTTCATTTTTAGTAGGATAGTATCAGTAACATTACAATTTGTCCTGCTAGGTGTCTTGCTAGTTTATAATTGATGTTTTCATTATCTTTGAATAATTTACCAATTGTCACGCTAGTGGCAAGTACTTGATGTTTTCTAATAATCTAAATTCAATTTACCAATTATCCAGGTAGTAGTGGCATGTACTCAATATTTTCTTATAATCTTAGTTTAAAGCCCATCTGTACTAGTTTGGCTAGGAGGGATTAGACCACCCAGGAAGGTCACTGACAGGTGACTATCTAATCAACTCAGCTCTCAATTAAAGATAAACTTGAGTACTGGTAATGCGATTGCATTGTGAAAGAAAAGGTGTGGAATGGATCAGAAAAGTTGATCATATAGCATGTAAGTAATGGTGTGTAATGCAAGGTTCTGGAGTCATCAAAATCATCACAAATTTGGCAGAGTCTTGGTAAAGTAACAATCACTTACACAGAAAGATGTATATGGGACAACGCACATGGTGTCGGGGCTAGTACTACCTTGATTTCCTTATCTTTCTATGCTCATTACTCAGCCAGTATACATTTTCTTCCAAATTGTTTGGCACATGACATTTATTTGTAATCTTGAACATTCAGTGTAAGTTTCGTTAGATTCTGTGAGAATTCATTTTCTTTTTTTACCAGAACTCAAGTTCATCTTTAACATAAGAGAAAGAGGATCATGGGGGACCAATGGTCACTGCTTAGGCATTGTTTTCTATATAGAGGGAGCAAGTAGCTAATTGTTGTGTCATCATTCAAGAATGAATTATAATGTTGTTCTATTTAGTTACTGTTGTACTACTTTAGTTGAGATCTTGTCAGTATTTTTGTTTGAGGATACTTCAAAAGTAGATAATTAATTAAGCTTTCACATAACACAATGTGACCTCTTGTATGTATGTTTCATCTCACTCTTATCTTATTTTTATTATTATATATGCATGATTTATTGAATAAAGAACAGATGTATAAGTTGTGGTAAATAATTGTTAAGTCAGAATATGGTGCGCTTAGAGACACCAGTATTAAGCGCCTTATAAATATTGTGTATTATTATTATTAATGTAAAGCGCATAGAGACATATTTTGTATAATGCGCTATAGAAAATATAATTCATTATTATTATTATTATTACAACAGTGGGCCATTAATTTACCAATTGTCCAGCCAGTAGTGGCATGTACTCGATGATAGCAAGTCGAACTCTCCACTTGTTATCCTCAGCTAGTTCTACAATGGCTGGTAGTAGAGACTGTGAGAGCTGGGTGATGCCGATCACCTTGTTAACGCAGTCTAGGTTACTGATGATGTTCAGTCTGACCTCTGGGCATTCGTCCTTCAGCTGAGCCAGGAACAGGGGTAACATGTGCTGGATGGTGCTGGATTTGAGAAGGTCGTTCATTTAGAGGTCATTCATTATTTGTGGCATGAACTAAAGCCACTATTGAACAGTATGTTACTAACAGATCCCATTTTCACTGCTGAACATGCACCATGACCGATAATCGTAATACCTTCTACGAGTTAATTTTGTGCTACTTAAAGGGATCCAGTAACTTTGTCTTAGATCCTTTTTTTTTTAATCCTTGATTTAGCTCATGCTGCAATGATAATCATAAATAGGTGATTATAAACCTTTAGGTCAGTCAGGAACCCCATGACTTTTGCAAGCCAATCGCCTGTCTGATTATCAAGATATTTATGATTGAAAATCGAAATCAAATTTTGCGTTTGCCATAACACTACAGTCTATAGGGGAAAACAAGTATGGTAAAACCGGTCACTCAAAGGTTTTTTACTTTATTGAGGCACATCTTCATTTTGAAGTGCAATTTTTTTAGGGCTTCAATATTACACCATATCACAGACAATGATAACACGTAGGGCCGTGCATCTCAGATTTAACATTGTTAAATGATCCCTTTAACATTTTTGTTGTTATTCATTGGTGTGTTTTTTTTTCCGCCTCATGTATCCATTCTTCCATTTTTATATTCTATAGTCCTCTTTCTCATTTCTTTCTCTCTTCCTTACATATTTTCGTTCTCTCTATTTCTATCTACCCCCCCCCCCCCATTTCCTTTCTCTCTTTCTCTCTCTCTCTCTTTCCCTCACTCTCTATCTGTCCTGATCTTTTTTAAGTTTCATCTCTAGCTGCAATAAGCATCAACTTTTCCCATGTTCTAAACTTCACTTTCTGCGACGTACATGTAGCACCAGAAAATACAGTTTAATAACAACTAAATTATTTGTGTTTTTCGTAACTCAAGAATGAAAGGGGGACTTGCTAAATTAGGGCCTCTGTTGAATACTTTTAGATGCAAGTTTTAAAATGTTACATTCTCTAGAAAAATAAATCGGTCAAAAAAATGTGTAATGTATAATAATAATAATAATGATAATAATAACATTTATAGGACACTTTATACAGGCGTTTCAAAGCGGACAGGTGGTACCGTCTAACTCAGTATAATTACGCAACATGTTCAATAGTTAAAAAGCAGCAAAATAATTTTTTTTTTTTACTAATACCATACAATTGAGTTGAGTAGAATTAACTACTTGTGTGCGCCTCCAGTATACTATAACTGATTAAAAAGGTGGGTTTTGAGAAGGGTTTTGAATGATTCAATGGATGGGTCATTTTGAATATGGGGTGGGAGTTTGTTCCAGAGGGCAGGGCGATTGATGAAAATGCACGGTCACCATAAACGTGTTTTTGTTCATGGACCGTGAATAAGTTGCACGGAGGAAGATGAACGGAGGGATCTGGTAGAAGAGGAGGATCAAATAATTTAGTTGTTAGTCAATCAGGGCCCTGTTTCATAAAGATCCTAAGTTGAAATTATCTCTAAGTTGGACTTAACGATTACGGAAAGCAGTTAGCATCCTTGAAAAAATTTGGTGAAAGATATTTTAAAAGGAATAAAATGTTGATTCAAAACATTCATACTTTTTATTATCATGTGAGATATCATGTTCATGGGGTGGAATTTATGAAAAGTCTAAAATACTTAAAATTTTGCTTTTGAATATATTTCAAAATAAGGCTACAAATGGCTCTCCATAATATTTAAGTCCAACTTATTAAGTTCGACTTAGAATCTTTGTGAAACATCCCCCAGAAGATTCATGAGCACTACTTACTTATCTTTGCCCAGAATAGGAGAGAGGCCCATGATAACGGACGCGAGGGCGCTCTTCACATGCTGGTTAGCGTCTGACACAAGATCCTACATGAATGAATGAGAGCAAATAACACAAGTCTAAATACATGTGTACAGATTCCTTTCCCCTTTACAATTACTTTTTGACAAAATAAGGAAATCACCTTAGCTTATCTTCTGCCGATATGTCGGCAATGGACAAATTGACAATGATACTCATGAAAATAGAAAAAAATTATATTTCCTAGAACCTTGACAAATGGAAGTTTTTGTTATAAGCTACTGAAATCCTTGCTTCTGATTGGTTATCAGCAGATTTGTCAGTGATTTTTGTCATTTGTCATTGAGAGAACGCTTTGTGAGACAGGTCCTAAGGGGTAAGATACCGGTCACAATGGTCAATTTCTGGATACCTAGCTTCCCACACTATGAATATGACGGACAAAGAAAGAGGACAAAATATACAGTTCCTCATTCTACCCTCAACAATTGCTGTGGTAGACAAATGAACATCCCTTCACTGCTATTATGTAAAAATAAGTAGAACAGGTGAATATGCATGTGACAACTGTTCTACACATTTTTACATAATAGCAGTAAAGGGATGTTCCTTTGTCTACCACAGCAATTGTTGAGGGTAGAATGAGGAACTGCATATTTCGTCCTCTTTCTTAGTCCGTCATATTCATAGTGTCACAAAATGGTTTAGAAAAACACTATGAACTGAAATACAGCTTGCCTTTCTAAATTTAAAATTTGTCGGAAGCTAAAGCTATTCCAATGGCATATTTTCATCTTTTGATCCAGAATGCTCAGAATTACAGAATTACAATATATCTCGGGATGATTATCCCGACCAAATATCCTCCAAATTGCAACTTCGGGCTGATGAAGACACAAACTAACTGGATACTTTGCGATCGAGATAGTTGAACTAGCGGTATATTTGGCAATCTCGAGCTGATAAAGACAGGCCTATGAAGAACTGAAACCTGGACTGACCTTGACGCAGGGTAAGATGCTGGCCATGATGATCTGTTCTCTAGAGTTAGGAGCTAGCTTCTCACAGAATGATTTGACCTTGTGAGCAGCCACAGCCCTGACCTCTGCTTCACAGTCCTTCAGAAGACTCTGGAATGCTGGGACCAGGTCTTGCTTGGTGATCTCTGGACCTACCGCTTCTTGCAACTGAAAGAGAGTGGGGAAGAATAGTAACATTTAGCACCAAGAGACTTTGGCAGAAAGCGCTTTATAAGCACCGTTGTATTATTATTTTTATATGTTGATGAAGTGCATATCATGCGCCAAGCAGTCCTCAAACAGACTATGGAATGCTTGAACTACATGTAGGTCTTGCTTTATTGATCTCTGGACCTACCGCTTCTTGCAACTAAAAGAGAGTGGAGAATAGTGAGACTTAGCACTTAGAGACTTTGGCGGCACCGTTTTAATATTATTATTACTATTGCTTGATGAAGTGCACATCATGTGTAAAGCAGTCCTCCAACAGGATCTGGAATGCTGGGACCAGGTCTTGCTTAGTGATCTCTGGACCTACTACTTCTTGCAACTGAGAGAGAGAGGGGGGGGGGGGGGGGAGAATCATAACACTATGTTGATAAACAGCGCATATCATATCTATAGCAACCAACAAAGAAAAAACAACAACAAAACTATGCATTAATCAATACATTATGCAGTTCTAAGCAACTTTCGGAGCAGATACCTACCTCTGTGAACTTATCAGCGACCATGTACCTCACTCTCCATGACTTGTCTTCAGCACAGCCTCTCATGGTGGGCATGATGAGGAGCTCTGTATCTTCGTGGGAGAGCAGGGTCGCGATGCTCACGCAAGCTTCCACGGCCAGCAATCGCACAGAGTCTTGCTGCAAGGTGCAAATAAAAACACAAGGGTGATGGGGATGATCAGGTCATGAGCTATGTCTTACGTCTATCCAATTTTTAACATTTTGATATAGTAATGAAAGTGGAAGTTGCCCTTGCTTTTCGTTTTTAAATTTTGATGTACATTCTTGTAATACGTGAAATTTCTTACTTGAAACCTACTGCGTCGGTTCGGAAAACCCAACGTTATATTATTGCACACGCATGGTATTGTGTGTTGTATGTAATTAAGCGCGGGTATACCGAACTGACGTAATCTTTACTGCGTCGGTTCGTAAATCCCATCCCTATACGCGCATCATGTTTTCCTTTATATTACATGTTGGCTATTCTACGAACTGACGCTTATCGTATGCGCGTCGGTTCGTAAAACCCAATAACGCGACTTCATGATGTTTCGGGTATTCTCGAAGCGTAGTTCTGAGAATTTCTTGAAATATATGTATTTTTAAATTCCCAAATTTTGCCATTTGGTAGAGTTTTCATAGTACTTTCAATTTATAACAAAAAGTTGATATCGAAAAATTGGGCCAAAATTACGTATTACGTCGGTTCGTAAAACCCGCGACGAATTGGGCTGTAGAGGGCGCTTGACAAGAGCAACCATATCATATTGAGTTGTGGCACGTCTACATGATTATCAATAGTTATCAGGTCAAGGGCCCTCTTGTAAATAATGAGTTGAGCTTAATAATACAGGTGATGTGCACCCAACAAATCATCATTTAAGTTCAAGTTCAAATTGGATGTACATTCTACTATAATTGTGCTTTCTCAAGTACAATATCTTAAAAGAAAAATAAGTAACCAACACATACTGTATATTTTTCTTTTGTTCATGTTCTTTTCTTTAAGATAGAGGTGATGGGGGGGGGGGGAGGGGGAAAGGTTGATAAACCTGACAGTTCGTTACCTGTTCATCGCTAGCCAGACTGTTGAACATAGGAATAAGATCCGACTTGACATATTCAGATTCTACAGCTTTGGCGAATTCACCAAGTTTGCTAGCAGCAGCTCTCCGTACCATAGGGGTGTCATCGCTACATAGGTTGTTAAACAACCTGATGAGTGAAGAAAGAAAAAGGAAAGATAAGTGAATAGCCCACTAAAGATCTTTTCTACTTTCTTTTCACATTAGCAACAAGTTAAATGAGACTGGGGCTCTTATATGCCTCTGCCCTAATTTAAGTATAATTTAATTAATTTAATTTAATAGGAAAATGATGGAATTATTTGTGACACATTTCATTACAAAGCAAAAACAAAAAGCCTATAGCAAAAATGCAAAACGACGACTACAATCTTGATGTACTAGCCCCAAAATGTATTGGGTTCACCACCTTTAGTTGGCGGAGGCATAATAACAAAAGATATTTGGATATATTGTGTTTCCCGCTCATCCTAGTTTGGTTGTTGTGTGACGCATGGTCCAGCAACAATTGATCTGCGGTGAATTCCTTGTGAACACTAACCAAATTCTTCTTAGTGACTTGAACCCTGGACCTGAACCCTGAAATCTGGCATCCCTGAGTACCAAAGAATGTATGTACATGTATACATGTATATGGGAAGGTATCAGGGCATTGCTTAATTTCAAGCTCTGTTCTGTTGCCTGTGTAGCAGTCAAGAGGGGGTTGGGGGTGGAGTACTCACACTCGTAATTCTCCCTTTGTTGTGTTTTTGCATTTCTTGTAACAGACGCTAAACAGACCGCATGCTGATGTCCTAGAGGTGAACCAGTCCCCCGCCGCTAGACGCTTGACCATCGGTACAAAGTGATTCTCAAGGTCAGTCTGGGTGTGTTCTTCCGAGAGCTTCCTCAAGCTGTCCACAGCCTTGTCTCGCACAACGGTCTCTTCTACAGTGGCTAAGCTTTCAAGGGGAGGCTGTACCAAAGACAATAAAAACAGCAGTCCTTAAAAACAGACACAGAGCATGTAACATTGGGCATCATTCTACAGTGGCTAAGCTTTCAAGGGGAGGCTGTACCAAAGATAACTTTTTTTAAGCAGTTTGTTAGGCAGACACAGAGCATGTTACATTGGGCATCAACTTTCCAGGGGGCACATCCCTTGGCAGATATTTCAATTTCCTTTATCATTTCAAGCTAAAACAGTTCCCCATGTTCAATGCAATAAGTGTACATGTAAGCAGTCAGTGTGTAGATTTGTTTGTTCTCACACAGCTGTAGTGACTGTGATTAATTTTACACTCATAACAATTTTTTTTTTTAAATACATGTACAAAGCTTCATTTGTGTTTTTTTTTCTTTAAATAAAAATAAAGATTTGGCGAAACTTGCATCATTTTATCGAACTTTTTGATGGTGGTAGTGAATATGATCATGGTACTACTGTTACTGTTGATGATGATTATGATAATGATGTTGATGATGATGATGTTGATGATAATGATGATGATAATGATGGTAATGATGATGATAATGATGATGATAATGATGATGATGATATGCACTTGAGATAAGCATGCATCTGATTTAGGGCATCTCTGCTTACAACAATGATAAACATCTTACACTGCATCATTCATGCTGGATGTGCATATTTTAGAAACAAAATCATATTTTAGAAACAAAATTTCTTACTTCATTTGTCACCAATGGTGAACAATAAGAGTGTTTGAATTATTTCAAACTTACCAATAAACAAAATACATGCTCTGGACCACCGACCAGGGGAGTAAAAGAACCAAGTTGCTCTGCCAGGGCCAGGAGGACTTCATCTTCATCATAAATAGTATCTGAAAATAAAAATAGGCACTATTTAATTATTGGGAAAAAAATACATGTACATAAAATGTACATACATGTACACTACAGCAGGGTGGCCCACAAGGATTTTTAACATGTAACAGGTTTAAATGTTTATGGTATAGGTTTGAAAATCAGCAACAGGTAAGTATTTATTCTCAACTGAAAATATATTTGAAATAATAGTCATAAAGTTTATTTGGAAATGTTCCATTTTATGTCCTTGAGTCCAGCCACAAAAGCCCATGATAGACCTTCCCTATGTCCAAAGTCCAAACTGAATAAGCCAGTTCACGGTTGCAGTCTGAGCATGAGCAGATAAAGGCCATTGCAGAACAAATTGTGAAATACACGGAGACGGAATACTGGATACGTGCTCAACTGCTCATAAAAGTTTTGTAATCATTATAGGGGATACAAAGGCCAAGTATGTAGCATCTCCATCGCTGTAGGAGTGATTATTTCAAAATGTACAAAGTGGGACCTCTTCGTGTTTTGAAGATCTGTGGATATTCAGGGTCATTGCAGCCATGTGCTAACCGTGAACTGGTCTATTAAGATATATAAGTCATTTCCTCATATTAATATTTGTAAAAGATTTGTTCAATCATAGCGTTGAACAACTGTCATCAACAGTCCATAATTTAAATTCCACATCTATCCTACAGTCCCACATGTAGAAATCACTGTGTCTGAATAGCATTAATGAATCTAAACTAAGTGCAATAGAGTCCTGGGGGTGTTTCACAAAGTCTTTTTTCAATGACAAATGACAAAAATCAGTGACAAATCTGCTGATAATCAATCAGAAGCAAGGATTTCAGTAGCTTATAACAAAAACTGTCATTTGTCACTGATGACAAGTTTTGTGAAACACCCACTTGTTCACAGATAAAAACAAATCATGCTCGGCCATAATGACTAATTCGTCACGATAATGCTTGGTCAACTCATAAATGCTCTGTCCAATATGGAACATACATGTACATGTAAAACGAAAGAACCAAACAGAAGTAAACATTTCTCCTCTTTGTTCCTTCAGATTTAAAGTAACTTACAGTCAATGACTAACTTATTCATACCCTTACATGTTGTTGTTATGTGAAAAGCTGATTTTTCCTGATTTGTTTCTTCAAAATGTGACATCTAAAAGTATTCAACGAAAGCCTAAATCAAATAGTCGACCTTCTTTCTTGAGTTAAGAAAAACGAAAACAAAACCACAACATTTACACAGGGTATGAATAATTGAGTTGTTTACTGGTCATGTAGTAAGCTTACCTGTAAGGAATGGTATAAGTTCCCCTCTTGTTCTTTCTACACCCAAAGCTAAAGCGATTGTGGACAATTTCTTGATACTGTTGAGTCTCCTCTGTTAAAATTCAATAAAGAGAATGAGAACAAATTGCATTACGATACACAAAAGTGTTCACTGACAATCAAATGTGTCAAGGGTTGAAAAAAGAACATACATGTAGGAGCGATTTATAAACTCTGATAAACTGAAGAAAAAAAGAAAAGCAACAACAATACAATCCTTTAAAATAGCTTTGAGAAAATCACACTTTACTTTCAACAAATCCCAAGAAGGCTCCTGTAAACAGAAAAGTCTTTGTATACAGCTATGTAGTCTTCTACATAAAAACTGCATAATAATATCCTGTTGGAGGCACAAACAAAGTTATTGATATAATGTTAAAGAGTTTAGTCCATCAATACCAAAGCAGAAGTATATTTACAAGAAAATGTTGAATTAATTAGGACTATTTTATGATCTCGGCCATTATACCATGGATAGTTTCATGCAATTTCACATAAAAATGATAAAATCCAGGAAATAAAGACAATTCATCAACTTGACAATATCTGAGTTCATTAATTTGTTGTGCTTTTTTATACAGCATGAGACAAGTTAGAAGAGGTGCATCACTAATAGATCTAAATTCTGAAGAAGACTCTTTCCTGTTTGGAATACTGGAGTAGTCTATATAGAGTAAAGGAGGGGGCTTTCGGCCCGTCTGCAGTTTTTGGCCGGTCCGTTGGATGCATGTTAAAATCCCTTTGAAATACATTGCATAATAGCATATCACATATGATATCCCACACATACCATAACATGCCAGAGCCACTGAAGAACCACATTTGCAATGGAAAATTTATCCTTAAATATCACATTTTAGCAATGTTATCGGTGGGCCTGTTACCTGAATCTGAAAAATCTAGTATATTACGGGTGTTTGTAAGGAATATAGGTACCATAAAATGAGCTGTATTTCAAGTATTTTTCAGATTTAGAGCACGATTTTGTGTGAGTCCAAGCTTAAAAGTATCTCATCGCATGTATTAAATCAATGCAGCCGGATACCCCAGCGCACACATGATATCTCTGTCTAATTCAGATTCCAATTTCTGATCACCGCAGGGGTAGTTTTCGGCACGGCAAGCTCCAGCTTGGAATACCCCCCCCCCCCCCCCTTGGCAGCTAGTGCTATAGATTAGCAGGGGAACACACGGTGCGCGTACTTGCTTGCTATTGACTTTGTACATGCGGCCGAAAACTACCTCCGAAACAGTGAACATGAAAATGACTATTGTCATGGCAATTCATGATTTCTTTCTGGGATTCCTTTTTTGTTTAAGTAATAATAGTATTTGCTTCATGATTTGAACAAGAAATGATAATAAATAGGAAGTAAAGAGTCCAAAAATAAAATTTTGTTTTAAGTGGCCGAAAACCCCCTCCTTTACCGGTACTCTAGACCTAGATCTAGAACTGCATGTACATGTACCATCTCTATTGACAATTGTCAAGATTTTTGACAGCTAACAGGCACGAAGAAGAATTACACACAAAACTTGCACATGCACAATGCGTCTCTTCTGTTTGCTCAAGCCCGACGTCATTTTTCATTCATAAAAGTGCTTGATTGGGTGTTTACTCATTTCATTTGCATATTTTCCCACAATGTTTAACCTATGAGTGCGATTATTTCTGCCTGCGACTTCTTGATTACGTTGATATCAAACTCGTTATATTTCCATCCCAACTTCGATTTTTTAACAATTTTTTTCGCCATCGGTGTCATCGATATTTCTAGGTACTTTCAGCAAAATTGTATGGTGGTTCTTTGTTTCAGTAAGTCATATTTTTTGATGATTTCGTCAGAAGTTTTTGTAAAGGATATGTATGTGTAGGTTGAAGTGTGTGTAAAGCTCCGTGCAAATTGTATGTGAGCAACATCATTGAAACCACATACACTGAATGTGTCTTTGGTCGCCATTTTTTGCTTGGTGTTCGAGTTTAGTGCAGGGCCCCGCTCCCGCAACACGGCCGCTACAATACATGGTACAATTCACCGCGCACAGTGTAGCGAATCGCCCATGCCTCGCAGCTAGCAGACAAGCGAGGGTCGCGCTATCAGCCAATCAGCGGCGCGTATTTCCGTTCACTGAGTTGGATAGGGGATTCTTCTATGTGACAAGTGTACATGTAGGATTTGGGATAATATTTGGGTAATTTACATTTACTGCAGAGCAATTACCTCAACTTTTATCTCTACAAGTAAAAGTTGAGGTAATTGCTCTGCAGTAAATGTAAATTACCCAAATATTATCCCAAATCCTACATGTACACCTGTCACATAGAAGAATCCCCTATCCAACTCAGTGAACGATGCCCCTTTGCTTATCACTTGATGTGATAAGCAGATTTCTTGTGACAAAAATCACCCATCTAGGCCGTCTTTAAAAAAAAAATCACCATCTAATTTTGTTTTCATAGCATTTTTGTTGTTGAGAAAATGTGAGAACAATTTAACAAATTTGACTCTTTTAGTCTTGACATCTGAGAGGGAAAAAGAATGGACTTGACAAAACTGCCTAGTTGTTAGTCCCGTTTCTTCTGTCCTTTTTATTTTTTAAGCTACGTTTCCAATCTCAAAATTAAGGGAGTCTCCAGAGTGCTGTAGTGATTCAGCCTGAGCTCTGGCGGGTATAAACCCATATGCGCGCAAGTCCTGCATTTGGCGACACCCGCGGTAGTTTCCACGATCATACCCTTCACTGGGTATGGCAGATTGAACTTGAGACTGCATGCGAGCAACAACACTGCCGTCTGCCCGTCTCTTTGGATCTCAACGTAGCTTCGTGGAGCTCCACTCATCGGTGCTGCAACGAGACGTCGTCGAGTAGTTATCAGCATATGGTAGGATAAACCCTTATTATAGTAGTTTAAGCATATTGCGTAGTTAACCGTAGTTATTTAGGCCCAGTAAGATTATATTTCGCCCCGTCACTATAGTGCCATAATATTATTAGGCGATGGCCGATGCATCTTTTCTGCAACTAAGTCTAGACTAGGCCTAACTCTAAGTTACTGGAAGACAATGTGAACTGACATGGCAAGACTCAATTTGTTATCATATTTTGAATTGATAACAATATTGTGCCATGCTACAATGAGACAACTCTTTCACTCCACATGTCTCTTTACATGTCATGAGCATTTTTCATTTCGACCTTTTTAAAAAATCTTCTTGCCAATCTCATCTGTTGTCAGGCGTGCAGTGCACCGACTATAAATTAAAACAAATGCAAGTGGCCTTTTAAGTTCATTCACAATATTTTCATCAACAAACTGGTGTGCTGATAATTTTGTTTATGTGCAGTCTAACATGATGTGAACTCTTGTTTCAGTTCGACATGAAAATGAAAGTTTGCAACATCCCACACATGATGATAATGATGATACATGCACCTGTGCACTGCGGTGTTCCTGAAACTTCGCTTGACTTTGTACATGACTCAGTACAGACAAGCTCGCGCTCGATCAATTTGCACATAACAACACACACAAATTCAATAGGCAGTGAACATGTAAAGTCGAGTCTAGCTGTGTGGCACAGCGACAGGGTAATACTCTTCTCAAATTTCATAATTTAGGGTGATATGGAACAGTAGAGCGTCTTACCTGTACATCTTCATTTCTAAGCTCATCAATGAGCACAGCTATGGGATACAGGGAGTCATCTGCTGTTTCTTTTGACGCCATTTTGTCTGTTTTTTCGCCGGTGATCGTCGATTTGACGGGTTTCAAATAATGAAGTCGCCCGGATGCATGCGAGTGCGTTGTTGCGCACGCTCGTTTTTAAATGCGTAACGCAATTTGAACTCCGTGCATATTGCATACACAACACATCTGCATCAAAATGCAACAGGAATGAAATTGATTATGAAAGGGGAAGTATAGGGGGAGAGGAGGACTTAGGGGAGAGGGCAGAAAGCAAGGAAGACCTCGACAAAAGGGTATATTATTATCATGATAATCAGGTCAACATTGAAAGACAAAATATCACTCCTATAAATATAATCCATCTATCTATCGCTCAGAAAAGGAAAATTTTATTAGGCCTATAGAATGAAATTCACTTTAATTATATTTATATAATCACATCGCATTCAGGCAAAAGGAAAGTTTCTCATCATTTTAATGGGACCCGTGGGGGGGGGGGGGGGGGGACTCACATATTAAGACATACGGGGGTGTGCAGCTCTAATGGGTCACTTTTTCACACAAAAAAATCCCTAAACATGGGTCCCATTTTCAACAATATCCCTAAACATGGTTCCGCTTTTTTTCTCCCCCCCCCCCCCAATTGTGAAAAATGAGCTTTACTTTGAGAAAAGAACCCCCTAAATGACCGTAAACACAGGCAGGGGAAGCTTGAACGGCACCCCCCCCCCCCCCCGCCCGCCCCCCCCCCCCCGGAAGCGTTATTTTGTTTCGGCGGCACAGATTGGGGTTAGGTGCGTGTTGAGCCTATGGGAAATTTTTAGGGTGAGGGTTAAATCAAGACCCCTTTTTCAAAAAAGCCCCAATCCGTGCCGCAGAAGAAAATAACGCCCCCGGAATGGGGTGATCGGAATATATAGGCATATTAAAACAAGTGCCGAGTAATCGTAAAAAAGAGAGGAACTTTTGACATGTTACTTTTTGCATGTTGATATGTTTTGTAAATCAATGAAGATGTATGATTCATGTTTATATTTTGTACTGAATAAATGCAATAAAGAATGCTACAAAACAAAACAAAACTTGGTAAGCTAATGAAAGAGAGAGAGAGAGAGAGAGAGAGGGGGGGTAGGTCGAGAGACAAACGAAGAGTTTCATTGCAAAAGGAGCTAAATCCACTTTGGGTACTTCTGAGTAAATCGCCTTTTTTATTTCTCCACTTTCCCATAAGCCATGGACCTTAATGTTGTTATATATTTTAAAGGTGTCATCCTGGACCAATAATATATGATAAGAAAAAATCTACCAGTGTTTCCTGATTTTTACTAAATTTTTAATTTTTTTGTTTTCGTGGATTTAGCTCCTTTTGGAATGAAACATGATATTGTACCTGGAAAATTTCATATTTTCTCAATAAAGTCACTGAAATGTATTCAAAGTTAGTAGCAAACCTTTCCTTTTAAATAATAGTGAAATCACAACTAAAAAAACCTTTTAAAAAGAAAGTAAACAACATATCACATTTTCATTCCAAAAGGAGCTAAATCCACAAAATCTAAAAATTTAGTAAAAATAAGAAATAACTGGTAGATTTGTTTTCTTATCAGATATTATTGGTCAAGGGCGACACCTTTAACATGTATAACAATGACATTGCTAAAGGGAAAATGGAGAAATAAAAAAGGTCATTTACTCAAAGTGGATTTAGCTCCTTTTGGAATGAAACCGATTTGGATTTAGCTCCTTTTGGAATGAAACATGATATTGTACCTAATTTTTATTTATACTTCCTGGTAAAATTTTCGAATGTGATATAGTGCATTTTGTCCCCATGTAGGAAATCATTATTTTAAGACAAATAAATCCATTTTTATAAAATATGGATTTAGCTCCTTTTGGAATCAATCTCTTCAATAAAAGGGGAGGGGCATGAGCGCTTCTAGATATGTGGGGGGGGGAGGGGGGCTTTGGGAGTTACGTTAATTTTCTATAATGTGTCCCGTGAAAATAAATTTGGGGCTAGAAGAAATATGGGGCCTTGAGCACCCCCCCCCCCCCTCTCCTCCCCTCACATAAAATCACTATAACTGCTATTGGAGGGGGAAGAGAGAGGGAGAGGTGGGGGCATAAGAAGTTTTTAGAAGAATAATGGTGGGGTTGGTTTGGGGGGGAGGGCTTGGTGTTCTTGCATTCCTTTCTACACGTGCCAGGCGATTTGATTTTTTTTTTTTTGTAGGGGGGGGGGGGCTTAAAGAAATGTCGGCTTGAGCCCTCCCCCCCCCCCCCACACACACACACACAAAAAAATGAATACATAAATAGATGAATAAATAAATAAATAATAGAATAAATAGAAGAATAGAAGAAGAAAAAACTCTACAACCACTAATATTTTGTTTTTAATCGTTAATGTGTTTTATCTATATACGTGTGGATGAGTGACAATCGGTTTCAAATTGATAAATCTCAAAGTTACCACTTGTTAAAAAAAGCGAAAACAAAAATCAAAATTATAGTGTAACAAAGATGATTGTGTGCAAATGTCAAAATTACAAAAAACAAAAATATATTTTAAAAATCTACGTAATTACCACATGCCTCTTCAGTGATTTAATACAGAGATGATAATAAATTATATTTATCTTAATACTTTTCACAATCAAAGAAGGGAAAAGAAAAATATGATATTAATTAGCATAACTATACATAGGGAGACACGAAATAACGAATTAGCATTTTCTATATCAAGAAGAATCAAGAAATTGAACAACGGTCCTATCCCATTCAAGCCCCCAAAACGATGAATAAAGTGGTCCCCGCCCGCCCTTATAAACTTAGTATGCCCCTCGACCCCCCCCCCCCCCCCCCACTGGAGACAAACGCTCCGTTTTTGTTATAATTGTGCTCATATTGTTTAGGCCTTTGTTTACTTGCTGAGTGAAAGTTGATATAAAAACGAATACCCGTCCGATTTATGAGAGGCGTGTCTTTTTACAACTCTTAAAATGGTTTCCTAGCAATTATGATATGAAACCAATCCACTTAATCACTCATAAATAAGAAAGAATAAAAAGAATAAGGGGGAGAAAAAAAATCTTCCTTCCCAGAATGTTTCTTAGGTTTATGGTGTACAGGAGGCTTCCTTGAAGTTGCCTATTAATCATGTTCGGTTTGCTTGTATTTTGATAGGTTGTGCCTTGAATCGCATTACGTGAAAACCAATCAAGCTTTCAAATTATTTTACTTTCCACACGGGGCCCATCTACAATAAGGTTTGAGGCTTGATCAGCAATGGCGGATCCAGAGGGCACAGGAAAAGTGCTCCCAATCCCCCCCCCCCCCCCAAAAAAAAAAAAAGTAAAAGAAGACCGAAAATGACTAGGAAGAAGACAGCTTGTGACCCCTTATTACTTTGTCAGAGAATGTTTGAGCCGAAACCGCACACCCAAAGCCTGACGACTTTGGTATTACCATCATAATAGGCCATATCTATATTGCTTAATTGTTAAGGAACTTTTGGACTTGTACCCCCCCCCCCCCCTCCCTCTGCCAGAGAATGATGGATCTGCCACTGAAGAGATCTTGTGTATGTTGAATTCATTGATATTGATTTTAGATGGTTGTAGAGGCTCACTCACAGAATAACAGCTCCCATTATGCTATCGCAATATTTTTTAAATTTCAAAGAAAAGTTATCTTTTACTGCAATAGACCCAGTCGTTTCTCACATTTTACAAATTACCCATACGTGATAAAAATAAGTCGTCTTTGTTTCACTCAGATGCTTGGCAGGGATCTCATCAATGTGCAGTCACTGCGGCGGATCGGATCCACATTTTGTTCTCCCTCTTCTTCTTTTTCCCCTTCCCCTTCCCCCTTTTGATGTTGTTGTTCCTTGTCACAAAATGTTCGGACTTCTGCCCCCTCCCCCCTCCCCCTCTCCACCCCAGAATCCTGGATACACCATTGAATGGACTTTTTGTTTCTAGACTTACATCCAACGTGCCTATTCATAATACGAGCTTGCTCGATGACAATGGATTGGAAACAAAATATGAGAGGCTGTCATTTAATTCTACTTTCTATTCTATTTTTGAAGAATATTTACTTTCCGTATAAGAGGCACGTCAAAAGCAACACTAGTAATAATTATGAAGAACTCCTGAGACAAGATGGCCAGAGTATTTATACTGGTCGTTATTCTTGTTTTTCACATGCGTTCGAACCATGTTTTCGCATCGGGGAATGAGACTGATGATTGCTATGATGATAAGTTTGGCGCTCGATCTTCACCAGGTGAGAAAGTGTCCTGAAATTGTATATATCGTCTGTGCCAAATTAGTTGCAATGTATATGATATAGTCACATACTAAAATATGAAGTGCTTGTTATAAATATGATGATGTTAGCGGTGATGTTGTATCTGAATAAAGATTTATTTCAAAAATAATTACAAAATATAACGAAATATGCTATTGATCAATGTTCATACCATTGATTATTAAATTTCAAATACATTCAGTTAGGTTGGTGTAATTTTTTTAGTCGTGATGAATATTTTGATTGTGGGCAGGGTGTGGCGGGGAGGATAGGGTCGTACATGTATGAAATTTACATTTTCTCTTAGATAACCGAGATTTATACCAATGATTAATTTCAAACAAATTTAGTTAGGGTGGTGTAATTTTTAGTCTTGATGAATATTGGGATTGTGGGCAGGGTTTTTTTTTGGGGGGGGGGGGGGGGATGGGGTTGATGATTGTACATGTATGAGGTTTACATTTTCTCTTAAACCGAGATTCGATCATACCAATGATTAATTTCAAATAAATTTAGTTGGGGTGGTGTTATTTTTTAGTCATGATGAATATTATGATTGTGGTCAGGGTTTGGCGGGGAGGATAAGGGGTTGATGGTTGTACATGTATGATATTTACATGTTTTCTTAGATAACCGAAGAGGAGAGGGGGTTCATATTTGGCCGTTGAGGGGGTATGGTGTAGTAGGCGTGTAGTGTCCCTTTTATATAAAGGGACACTATAGGCGTGCTGTGTGTAAACTCTCACTCATATGCTCAGTATTACTTTTTTTTCCTCGGCTTTTCTACCCGGCTG